TCTTCTTATGGTCACACTCAAGGACGTAAAATACATGGTTAAAATAACTACCAGTGGGAGCGATTACAAAATGAGCCAACTAAAGACATAACTTATTTAAATATTTGGCCCGCCCTTGCAAATTGCTAAATTGAAGGAAAACATCCAAAACTAGATGGGGAGTCTTTATACAAAGCGTGGGACTGCTACAAAGGGATGTTACGGAAGTACCATCAAAATGACCTGAATGTGCAACAATAGATCTCAACTTTCTACAATGGAATCAACGTGTGCACTCAAAAGCTTCTCGATTCCTAATAGCCTATGACAAAGAAATATCCAACAACTCACAAGGTGTTGATTGAAGAGTTTGCATAAAATTCGAGAGAGTATCACAATCCAAGAGAAGATGTTAGGAGAGGAAGTCGAATGTAGATGAAGTGTAAGATAATATAACATCTATAATAGCTATGCTTGACACTATGGATCAGAGGATTCCAAAGGTGGGAAATCGATTCATGCAATTCATTTAGGAAGTTATAAGTGTAGCGAACCACATTTGACACAGGATTGAAATTTGGACGAAAATGGGAAAAAAGAAACAAGTTTGTTTCTCAAGTGGTGATAAGTTTGATGACGATTGGAGAAGGACGAAGAATAAGTGGAAGCCCTTTGAAAAGTACAAGGATGAGAAAGAAGAGAACTATCGACAAAAAGGGTCACGACTTTTACCAAAAAGAACAAGCACAACCCGGAAAAAGGTTGATCTCAAAGGGATGTTATCCCGATTCAGGGAAGCAAGTGAAAAAAGACACAACACAACTAATGTAGCTCTTAGGGATTAGCAAGATACACTCCGAAATCAACAAGCATCCATCTTGAACATCCAAACACAAGTTGAGAAATTATCAAGGCTTTTACAAGAGATATGACCGAGAAAATTGCCAAGTAATACCAATCTAAACCCGAAAGCGCATATGTTAGCTATATCCACTAAAGATGTGAAGCAAACTGAGCCTCTGGTTCTCTTTGAAACAACTAAAAAGCATTCCAATCATCTTCCCGAAGGAGTAGAGAAGAATAAAGAAAGTGAGTCTGCCAAACTGGCACGACGTGATGGCCATGATGCCACGTTGTGGGACCTGAAGCATAATAATGATGCTTATTTTTTTAAGCTAAACAAGCCACCATTGCCATACCCGTTGATTTATAAAAATTATACCTATCAACATTTAAATTTATAGGCAATATACCTAGTGGATTATAAAATAGTTAAATAATTCGGGTGTTGAACTTAGGGAATGGAATTTAATTAATAAAATAATTACTAAAAGTTAAACTAAGAAACAAACTATAAATGGGGGTTTTACTGATTTTGCAAGATCATAAGAACTTAATTCAAACAACTACCAAATGACACTATTAAACTAAGCAAAGCAAAAGATTTGAATTCAATATTAAAGCGTACTTTCGTTAGATCCGAATCTCCCCTTTTCCCTATGGTTAATTTTTAATTAGATTATTATTGTTGGCTAAGAAAATATGATGTGACTAGTTATTATTATCAAATTCATAGTTGTTACCAATTTATGACCTACTATGTAATGATCAAACACAAGTAGACACAAAATTAATATTAAGATAAATTTGGCTATGCATGATAAATATAATAGTTACTTTCCTGTGATCAAGTCAAGCAACCAACCACAAATTATGGACCAATTATGCTCTTTAACATAGTTAAAGCTAATAACTTTAATTACCTAATCTAAGATCTGTCCAACCCTAACTCAACAATTTAATGATCATAAACCATTAGATAACAAATTCATGAAAATAGAATGATCATCTACTACACATAACTTGTATTAAGGCAATTAAAGACTAGAAGAAAAACATGTAAGGATTTGATTTATCAACACTATAAAAACCAACTATATATAATCATAAGATTGAAATCAACACATAGTTCAAATGGTTCATCATCACCAACGAATGTAAAAGGGTTTTAGCCCATAATCTATGGGTGAGCAAAAAAAAAAACAAACCAAAACCGACAAAATTAAAACCGAGAAACCGAAACCGAACCCAAACCGTTGGGTTTGGGTCTAAATTTTTAAAAACCGAAAGATGGGTTCTGAGTTCAGTTTTAGTACTTAAAACCGACCGATAGGAAATGACCCAACCTAATGGGTTGAACCGACTTAAAATCGACCCGTCCTATATTATATAATTAAATTTATTATATTTTAATAAAATAGAAAATATATATACCATTTATTTTTTTGTTCCATTGGAAAATAGAAAGTGGAAAAAGCATAATCACATCTCGTTCTCTTCACCCTTCAGCCTCAAGCCGTAAGACCTAAACTCTTCTGTCTTCATTCTCGTTGAGAAATTAAGATAAAATGTACTAAGAAACCACACCTAGATGTAGAAACAAGATGTATTTCAACCTTTCGATGTTGGAGATGAAAGAATTGTATGATGCTACGTTTTATAGGTATTGTATGAAGTGTGCTATATTTAATTTTCTTATAATTTACATACTTACATTTTAATTTGTTTTAATTTTTACTACAGGCTAATTGCGGTTGATATTGGTTTCAAAAATTATTGTGGGAATGAGGATAATGGTGTGGGGAGTACAAGAAAAAGAAGAAGACATGAGAAAGTTGTGGGGACTCTCGATGCCACCAATTGGGAGGTTGTTAGATATTTTTATTCTATATATTTTACTTCAAATGCGATATCTAATATGTTTTGAATCTAATATTGTTTTATTATTTTGTTAGGTTTTTATCAACTATTCAAGGATGTTTTTCAATGTCACAAAATTTTTTTATGGGTATAAATATGTGATAACCAAATTTATTTTGTAGTGAGCTTGTGACAATACAAGCAAGCATTACCAAAATGTGTGCAAGCATGGACGAGAAAATGAAACAAATGGAAACATCGACGAAAGAAAAGTATGATAAATATTTGGACAACATTGATATGCATTTCTTGCTTCATGTTGCGGTGGTTTTAGATCACCAGAATAAGATGTGTTATCTAGAGTGTTGCTTATAGTTGAATTATGGAAAGGATTTTCTCAAAGCAAAAAATATTTTGGAACGTGTCAATAAGAAATTAATGGAGTTGTTTGAACACTTCAAGAACAAAGCCCAAAGAGAAAGATGTGAAAAGACAAAGGATGTATCATCTCCTAGACAGACTACTGGTTATTTTGATGGTGGTGATGGAGTTGATTTGGAATGTGATTTTGGAAGGTTTTCGGAACAACATGAGAAAAGGGTTAATAAAATAGATGTTTAAGTTTATTTTCCAGATGGAATCGAAAAGAGGGTGGATGATTTTCAGATTTTAAAATGGTGGAAACTTAATTTCATAAAGTGTCATGTACTTTCTCATGTGACGAGGCATGTTTTAGGAATGTGGATCTCTAACGTAGGATCAAAGTCAACATTTAGTGTTAGCTGGAAGGTAATTGATGCAACTTGAAGCTCCCACAAAAAGAAGATCGTAGAAGCTCTGATTTGCACACAGGATTGGATATGTTCCAGTTCGATTTATATTAAATTTAAAAACATGACAAATGCATATGTGTTATATTGGAAGAGATGTTAGAGAAAATACAACTTGGTAAGTATTTTTGCATAATTATAAGTTTATACATCATTACTAACCTTTTTTTGTTCGTATATGAATTAGGAAATGATGAAGTGATTCACATGGATGGCGATTGAAGATTGAGAAATGAACATGGTTGTAATGACAATTTCAATTTGGTTGTTTTAAACTTGGTTGTTTGGTACTTGTTTTTGTTTCTAGAAAGTTATTAAAGTTTGTTTTTTATTAAACGTGGTTGTTGTAAACTTTTAGCAACATACTTTTGATGTTGTGTTGCGGTTCTACTTTTTTTTAGGTTTTTTCATCTATGTTGTTAATTTTGTTTCATTTTTAAGTCATAAAGATTTGCTAAAAAATGGGTTACAACCCAAAACCCAAAACCAATGAATCCTACTCACAAACCCAAAAACCGAAACCACAAAAAAATCGAACCCAACGAGTTCTTAAGCCCAGAAACCGAAATTTATTGGCTGGGTTCGATTTTACCCAAAAAGACCAAACCCGGCCCATGCTCATCCCTATAATAATCATAGAAGAAAAACAAATTACATCAAAGAAATTAAAAGTAGACATGTTTAAAGCTAGCAAACCAAAAGATTTAATGATGTTTTTCTTCTAAATATCTTCAACAATTAAGCTTCAACTGAATTCTGGACCTCTAAGGGTGTTCCAGAGGGTATTTGTTGTAGCTTTCTCTAGAAAATTGGTCAAAAGTCCCTCTATTCGACCTAATTTCTGAAATTTATAGTTTCCATAAATTTGCCTCCAACACAGTGGGTAATAGGCTCCACGACATAGAGATCTTGTTCCACGCGTATTCCCCAAGACAAATTATATGATCGCGAATATTCTACTCACCACAGTGTGGTAGGAATTCCCCACATCGTGGACTCCATAATTCTTAAATTCTTTGACTTCGATTGACTTGGCCCACTCTTTCCTACTTCCAGCTCTACAATTTCTTCATTTTCATCTCGAGCACATTTTTGTTGCTGAAAAACAGATTTCAAACATAATAAGTACCTTTTACCATATAATAAGTACAATTATAGCTAAAAATATTAAGATAATGCACAAAGTATATGAATAAATATGCACATATGAACATACCCCACACTTGACTATGACTTTCCACCCAAACAAAACTAATTTTTATCATCTTATCCTTACATGAAATCCCCAGTTACCAACATCGCATAACACAATCCATTTTGAGCTTATCCATTACAACGAGACCGCAATACATGTATTAGTATCTAATGATTCCTAATTACTTCCTCAATCCTAAATACTTACAATCATCCTAAACAATTCATAGTTATTTTGAATAACTTTCATTTGATGCATCCCTCTGAATATATCTCCGTTTTGCAGATAATTTGATGTCAGGCCAAGGTGTGTATATCTCGCTCCCTGAACCGCAAAAGATCTTTAGCACCAAAAAGATGAAGAATAGTATCGGTATCAGTGAAGTTGATTGCTGATGTGGCTGTGACCTCATCAAAAGCCCAAAATTCCATACGGTCCAAATATCCTTCATGGAAATGTTGACTTATAGGAATTTCTTTCAACTGTTTAGTCCGAGGCCACATTACTATCTTCATTGGCTCATTGGTTCTGGGATCAAACACCACCTTGTCTCTTCTAATGAGCTAATCCGCAATTTTCATTCCAATAAAATTTTCTTTGACCTGCCTTTCCATAAAGAGTTTGAAATTAAAGGCATTTAGGTCCTTAGAAGGATCGTGGAATGGAGCTTCTGAAAGTTATGTTCGATTAAATTTTGTACAGGAGCTAAAGTAGTGAGTATCCTTGTAATATTCAGTGTTGCCATTGTTCCTCTTCACCACCCACATACTTAAGTCACTGTGAAATCCCCACATTTTGATTCCCGATCAATTCCCAAATTTGTCTCCGAACCTTCGCTTTTGAAGATCAGTTACCGTAATTTGAGGCTGGTCTGCATCACTGTCTTCATTGGCTCGTTGGTTCTGGGCATGTTCATTTTAAAATTGATTGACAACCCTAGTGGTTCTGAGGGGTGGTGAATCCACGATGTTGTCATGTTGAGTAGTCTGGACAGGGGCACTGGAAAGACCTTCAGTGGCGATAGATTTAGCTATTTTTGATTTGAACTTATCTCTAAACTCAGATGCCAACTTGTTCTTCAAATCATAATATCACGTTGTCAATGCTCCAAGGCGATTCTGGAGATTAGATATTCGCTTATACTTTGATTCAACTTCCTTTTCAAGTTCAGAAACTCGAATGTCGAGCTTTCCTATCAAAATATATTTCTCACTAATTGTCTGCTGTAATGCTCCGATATCTTCCTTGAGCTTTTGGACAGAAGTGTCCACTCCCCCTAAGTTTCCTTCCTCAACTGATATTCCCTTTCCATGATGAGGAAGGTATGTTGCTTGTTGCTCAACCAGGACCCTTGCAAGCCTCTAAGAGGCGATGTCATGTACAGGCCTTGGGAGGGAGGAACCTCCAGGAGCTAAAGAGCTCGCAGATTCAAAAATGGTGCTAGGTCCTTCCTGAATTGATACAGTTGGAATAACAGTTGGTGTTACGGTTGCATGTTGTGTTGGCGGCGCCTGCTCGTGAATAAGGACTCCCACCCTCGAATCATGTCTTCTCCTTATCAGCGGAGGCTAGGAGGTTTTAGTTAAAACTGGATCACTCACAGATGACATAGAGTTGGAATCGCAACATGAAGGGGAGGAATCCTAGATGCTGCATCTGTATCAATAAAAGTACCGCCCATCTGTTCTGTAGAAGGAGGTGTCGCTTCTTGAACGTATTCAACTCCCCTATCTCCGTTGCATGTTGATCAACATTGTTGATATTGTTAAAGAAGGAGTCAAGGTCTTCATTTGATGGGCAATAATCATTGTTTTCGAACTCAAAATTGAAATCTTCATTTAAACCCGACATATTACCACAAAAAATATCATCATCATTACCAAAAGCCTCATCATCATCAAACTCATCAACATAATAATTGACTGCATCTTCATCCTTATTGTAGTCACTTTGTACTTCCACGGATGTCAAATGATCGTGTTCCTCTACCACGATTGTGACAGGAGGAACTCTTTCATCTTCATGATCAAAAACAGTAATCATATCATCTTATGTTTCCATATGTCCAGATGAACTTTCATAGGCTAATGCATCACCAAATTTAGAAAATTTCCAAATTGCACCAATGGATATTTACCCTGAAACATAAACTTCCATTTTCCATTTTGCTTCATAATCCCAAATATGTTGGAGCCAAGGGATTTAACATCAAGTGTATCTCCACTTCTTTCGATTTCTGGGTGTTTGATATTTAGGATCAGTTGCTGAAACCTTGGGTACATCATAAATTTCACATTTTTCTTCCCTTCAACATTCCCACCATTTCATTCAGAATGAATTTGGAAAAATAAATTCCAGGCCCATGATCAGAGTTGTGATTGCACCAGTATTGAGCAGGGAAATTTCATCTGCCCTAGCTCTCCGACCAGAAATGCAACTCACGAACAAGTAAGATAAGAATCTCCAATATGGTGGCAGAAGCTTTTTGATGGTAGGAGGAAACACCCCTTCATACCCCATTTGTTCAATGATAGTTTCTGTTTGATCCATTGAAATCTCAGTCGGAAAAATTGGCTGGTCATCAATTTGAAAAACCTCTCGAATAATCTGTTCTATCACCAAAATCTTCTTTCCTTTGATAGTAGCCTCTAAGGATACAAAATCATCTTCACCTCTTTGCACCACAACATTGCTCCAAAAATATTTGATTAAGCTTTGATAAATGACATGGCTGGATGTGAGGGCATGAACGAGAGAACACTTCTTCAATCCATGAACCATGGACTTGAATTCAGTGTGAGTTGCAGGTGGATCAACCAAGAAAATAGCCAAGTTGTGAACATCAGCGAATTTTAAGTCAGCTGTTTTGACTTGCATCAATCGAGCCAAGTGAGAAAACATATATGTTAATCAATAAACACCAAGTTTTATCATTAATCATGCAATTAGGCTTTCAATATTAAAAATAATAATTTAGGGCAAAGTGGGGTTTCACGGCTGTGAACCCTTTAAAGGCCGTGAACGCATCACAGTGCCGAAAATCCATTTTCAGTCCAATAAAACCATTAAACACAGTCGATTTCTAGTATATTTAGCATAAGTGTGATCACCTTGATGATACCTACACGACTCAATGAACAATTTTGGATGAAAAACACAAATAAGGATGAATCGATGAACAGTGAAGAGAGGATCTGGAAGAGTTCACGGCCGCAAAGTGAAATAGAGGTTAAAAAGTGTTTTTCAGCCGAGAATAAGAGCATTTGTACCAGGATCCAAACCCGGTCCACCACCCATGGGCTGCAACCCAAAAGACTTTAAATCCAAGCCCAATACATCAGTAATTTCAAAAATAAAACATTTTGAAGACATAAAAAATCAAAACAAAATATAAATAAAAACTAAAAAATTTAAACTAATAATTTTATTTTTAATTTTTAATTTTTAACAAAATAAAATAAAAAATAAAAATAAAATAAAAATAAAAATAAAATTAAAATTAAATGGAGTTAACACTAATTTATCCCTTTCAATGCTAATATTAATTTTGTGAGTTTGGGATCAAATTTATTAGACAACCTTAATATGTTTATCGGTACCTCCTCCCTTATGAATAGATCTGGTCAATCGTCGGTATTGTGGTTCACTTAAGCACGAAAGACTGTGACAAATTTAGGACATACAACAAATAACAAGACATTTGACTCTATGTTCCTAGATAGAATTCGTAAGGGCCATTCAGTTGACGACGACCAAGGATATTGTTGTCCACCTAAATTAAGCAGCGAGAGCTACTGACAACCTATTTGATGTTTAATTTTAGTTGTACTAGAACATGTTTCCCGCTTCCTGATATACTCTGATAATCAAGAACTTCCGAGATACTCCTTACTTTAGGTGAGCAGACTATTATTAGGAGAGTAGACAGATTTACACTGCATATGTTAAACACCCAGGTCAGATCTCTTCTAATCACGTAGAGGGGTTGACATATGACTAACCAGAAGAAGAGGGGTTGAGAAGCAGAATGGTGCATATGATGTGTACCAGGATGTTTTTCAATCACGCAGAGGAGACAACATATGGCTAACAGATAGGAAGAATTGCATAGATAAGATATGCAAAGAAATAGAGTTGTATATGTTGTAGTCCAGGTCGGATATGTTCCAATCACACAGAGGATGCAACATATGACTAACAGTAAGAAAGAAATAAAATAATTTTCTACAGACCTACTTTATCAGAATTCCCAATCACCCTATCAATACCAGAATTCATGACAGAGCCCGTACATCAAGGAAAAGTTAAGCCACAGTTCTAGATATGGTTTCCTTTAATGTGATTGGTAGATTCTCATGCATATCTCCCTGCTCAATCTATCCAAGCGTCGCATTATCAGGCTAAACAAAAATATCTAGGTCAAGATTTTTCAAGTCTCTAGATTCCTTAAGCTCATTTATGCTTAGTCAAGTCTATTTAAATCTTCCGTGCCTACCAACGCATTGACACAAAGCCTAAACAATTCAACATATGTACCTTACACAGAATCAAATTTTCCTGTTATCACATATTAATACCATTTCCCTAAACATCACCTACAAAAACATATTTTTGCAATTTTTAATTTCTGAAAAAATAAAAACAGAAATAATACTATTTTTGAAGTTTTAAGATATTTCTAATTTTTGTTTGGTTTTTGTTTATTTCTCCCCCTAAATTTGTGCATAGGAGAGAATGGAAAGTAAATGCGCAAATTGAAATTCTCTCATGTGATAAATGGAGACAAAGTCAATTATGTCTCCGCAATGTTCACCGGAGAAGCCCTGGTCTGGTGGGAAGCAACATTTGAAGCTCTTAAAGAGTATGATCAGGAGAATCTATTTTGGGGAATGTTCAAAACTCGCTTACTAGAAAAGTATTGTCCTATAGATATGAGGAGAAGATTGGAAAAGGAGTTACTTGAACTTAAACAAGGTGGAACGACCGTGAAAGAATATGAAATGCAATTCAATCAAAAAGCACGGTTTGCTACAAAGTATATTACAACTGAAGATGATAAATTTCAGTTATTCATCGAAGGATTACGATATGAAATCCACAATTTCTTAAGTAATTGGGATGTTCTATCATTTGATAAAGCTCTTGAGTACGCCCGAAGACGCGAGCATGATTTGGAGATATGTGGTGCCACTTTTACTGTTAAAAAGCATCCACGTATTGAAAGAACTGTTTTTGTTCCCTCTATTCCACCCGCTCAATTTGTTTGATCTGAACCTAACAAACAAGTGAAATCTTGTGACAACCCGAAAATTCTTACTTTGTAAGCCCTGCCAGTCAACTCAACTGAGTTTCAGACTCGTTTCCGCTATCATTTAGCCATGTTTAGAGTCCATTCAAAGGTTCAAAGTTCAGTACATTCAAGCATTAGGTATAGGATCGAGTCGCGTCCACTTCTAAACCAACAAACAAGCCATACACTCCATTTGAGGGAGTGTACGGCCGTACACATGAGTGTATGGCCGTACACATGAGTGTACGACCGTACACATGAGTGTTATCCTTCATTTTTCCTTCATTCTTGCACTTCCACCTCAAGAGCACTTGATTTCTCTCTCAACTACCATCCAATTTTCATCCTTGATCTTCAAAACTTGTAAGTGTTATTCCCTTGATTTGTAGTTATACTTCATCTCCTAGTTACATCCTTTGATTCATCCATGAAAACATGTCTTTTGACTAGATCTTCCAATCTCACCAATCTCACCAAGAACACATACTTGTTCTTGGTGATTGTCAACCCTTTTTGAACCTTCAAATCATAAGTACTCCTTCCTCATGCTTAGTACTTATTAGAAATCTGGATTAACATCTTATAAAATGCCCAAAACATGATTATCAAGTAGTGTACGGCCGTACACACCCCATGTGGCCGTACACCCCTTTGTTTGGTGTTATTTGGCTTCAAACTCTTGTTTA